CTCTCCTCTCTTCTCTGTCTCTCTCCTCTCTCTTTGCTCTTCTCTTCTCCCCTCTTCTCTCTCTCTCTCTCTCTCTCAGCCTGGAGTTGAGTGGGGCCAGGAGGCAGGGCCAGCCAGGCTAAGGATGGCTTCTGGCTGCATCTCCCTCTCTGCAAGTCCTGAGGATGGACCATGAGAAAGGGGGCTCCCTATCCGCTCTGTGGCAGTTTGGCTGTGCGGCCCTCTGTTGCCTGGGGAGGCAAAATGACTTGGTGAGAGCCAGCCGGCCTATGCTCACACTGCCTCATGCTGGCCACCTGACTTGGGAGTGGACGGTCTTGGAGACTTGGATGAGTCTACCTAGGCCCCTTTCTCCCTGCTCCAACCCAGCCTTAAGAAAGCGCTCCCTCCCCAGGACAGACAGGAGCCATTCTGCTCGCCCTCTCCTGCGGGAGGGCCCCTCCCCGTTTGTTTGGTTTATTACTTGAGGCTGTCACTGGACACACTGAGAATGTCAGTAGCTAAGGATTCCACCCAGCTAGGGCCTTCCGGACCATGCTGAGGTGGAATCCTGCCACGTGTGTAGGAAGGAATTGTGCAGGTAGGTGTGGTCCCAGTGTGCCCAGCTGCTCAGCCTAACAGGCCAGCAAGGACGAGGACGGCGACGGCAAGCCTTCTGATCAGTTGTTCCCCTTTCAAACATACACACACCTTCCGAGCCTGTGTGTGTTTAGGGTTTGGTTTTCACTTTTGCCAGCAGTTTTGTTTTGCCCTACACAGATTTGTACCTCTGGAATCCGGAGCAGTCAGTAGGGTGGGGTGGGGGCCTGGGGTGTAGGAGGGGCCAAAGAAATGGTCCTTGGGGGGCCCTTTTTCCAGAATGCCACCTCTTGTGGTCGGTTTGTGATTGTTCCACCAGAGGGCAGTCAAGGAACAGGCATGAGGCAAAAGTCAATTCTTAGGCAGGACAGGACAGGGCTGCCTTCAGCACAGTATCAGTATCCATGGTGAGTGTATGTGATGCGCCTGGCTTCTCCAGAGAGCAGGAATCATGGTGCTGGAATGGTCAAGTCTTTAGAATCTCACACTATGAAGCTGCAATTTCTGCCTAAACCCATGGCCCTGTGTTCTCTCCTCTAAACAGAAGCATGTACATGACCTCTGTCTGGCTACCATCCCGTCGAAAATAGCGCACACACCCCTGGCCCTCAGCCTTGCTCTTACCCCAGGGCCCTGCTTAATTTCCTCCTGAGAACAACTTGCTGCCTGGCATTCCCTTGTTCATGAGTTCTGACCTGTGTCTAGTCCGTCTCATGTTCCCCCGGGGCTGTATCTGCTTCCCACCGTGACTGCAGTCACCCAGTAAGCATGGGAAGGAAGCTGTGTGTGCTAGGAAGAGCATTCCTGTTCCGGTATGTCGTGCATTTTGTTGATGTCCTTTTTTTGCTCTCTTTGAAAATGGAATCCGCCCAAACCAATCTCTTCTGGCCTCCTCTTCTCGGCTCAGGTCCTGACTGCAGGTGAGTGTTTGCTAAGCTCCTTTCCTCTCCCCTCTACAGCTTGCCAGCAAAGCACGGACAGAGAAGGAGGAGAAGCTGAGCCAGGCCTATGCAATCAGCGCTGGTGTTTCCCTAGAGGGCCAGCAGCTCTTCCAGACCATTCACAAGACGTGAGTTGGGTGCTTTTGTCCCAGGGTGGAGCTGCCAGATTGTGCAGTGGGGTGGTATGTACCTGAGAGGCCTCCCTGAGAGGCAGCCGACACTGCCCTGGGCATCCAGACATGGATGTTTGCCACAGGCCACAGAGAATGGCATCTTAGATAAGTTTTCTCTCAATCTTTCTTTGTCGATAGATTGTAGTTTTGAATTGATAATTCCAAAGGACTTTTCCGACCTAGTACTGCTGTTAGGGCCGTGGAGCTGGTTCCGTGTGTACTGTGGAAAGAAGCGCTGCCCGGCCCTGCACCAGCCTCACAGGCCAGGCTGTGTGTGAGCCCATTGGTGAGCCACTGTGTCAGCCCATTTCTCTGAGGGTGGCTTCTCTTTTGCTGACCCCGTACTTTCCCAAGCATGATGTCCTCCTCCAGGGCTTGGTCCCACCTCCCGACATGTCCAGAGTAAGTGGGACAGAATCTCACCACTCTCCCTTCTAAGACGCATCCTGGGTGCACATCCTCCAACACGGATTTCTTTGCTTTTCTGGCATTCCGTGGTATATTCAAATTCTTTTCCAGCACCGTAATAACTCAAATGCATCAGTTCTTCCCTGGTCATCTTACTCACTATCCGGCTTTTGCACGCATGTAAGGCCATTGAAAATCCCATGGCTTGGGCCAGGCACGGTCCAGTCCTCACGTCCTCTAGTCCTTTGTTTGTTGAAACCGTGTAAAGAAGTCTTTCGCAACAGATTTCTTGGTTGCTGCTTAGTACTCCATAATTTAGAATAGCAACCTTCTTTGCTCTCATTTTGTGCTGCATCTCTCTCCCCAAGCTGATGTGGTGTGAAAAAGGGAAAGCTAGGTCGTACGCAGAGGAGAGCGGGAAGTGGTCTTCCGACTACTTCCCCAAAGATGCTTTGTCATAGCAGAAGTCATTCGACTCTCCCGGCTTCTCTAGCTGCCGGGAAACGAGGCATTTTGACACCCTGCCCACCCCTACCCTGCCTCTTTTACCTGGTGTAACCACCTGGGTCTGGTGCACAGATGGCAGCCAGCATCAGAGCTGTTTGAGACCCTGGTGTGTCCGAATGTTTCCAGGTATGTGAAGGCAGTCTTAGTGACAATGGCTGCCCTGAGCTTCTCCGGGAGTACGTTTCCCTAGCTGCCTCAGGGAGCTGTTTTCATTGGGAGCGTTGGGGGATGGAGTCCCTTTTTCCCCTTTCCAAGGGTGTCTCCTAGCTAGCATAAGGGTTGGCAAGTTACAGTCCACCGCCTGATCTTGTCAGCGAAGTCTGCCTGGCACACAGCTGTACTCCTTTGTTGTGTACATGCAGTCCCCAGATTCCAAATGAGTTTCACTGCTCAGCATGCCTTACGTTGTTGATCTGTTGGAATAGTGAGGGACAGTTCATATCTGGTGTCAGTCAGTCTAGCAGCATACCTTTCTTTGAATTGAAAAAAGCACCAGGAAACACTTGCAGGTGCCCTGCAAACATTTGTAACCTAATACCTCAATGCTAACGGTTGGGCGTGCATGGCCGAGGAGTGCCTGTTTGTTCCGAACCATCGTGCTTGCCTGGAGTCCTCGGTATCGTGGTCTTTGGGGTGGGTTTGTAACGGCTGGTGGTATGGTTTTATGTAAGTCGGTAATCTGGCGTTGCCAGTATCTTTTTGGCTGCCTCTGCATTGGTTGCCAGAGTCAGTAATTTGTGACAAATCATCTGGCAGGCAGAGCCTGTTATTTTTACTGCCTGGGCCTTGGTAGCCTAGGTTATTCTCTCAGTTGCAGCTAATGGCCTGAGCCTACTTGTTTATTTGTGACTCCATTTCCTTTGGACTTCTGAAGCAGCCCCCAAGTTTTCGGTGATTCTCAAGTCCTCTTTTGAGTGCTGCTTGGGAGAGAGGTGCACCTGTGTCAGTGCTATTTCCCAGCCAGTGGTGCCCCAGAAACAATTCACAGCTGCTTCTGGCATTGAGGGGGCTCGGCTGGAGTTGTTGGCCGAGTGGTGACTAGGAACTTGAGGCCAGCTTGCTGGTGTTCCTCACACAGCAGGAGGTGTGGGGGGTGCCTGCAAGAGGTAACCTTTCACCTACTCTCTTCTCCTTCCAGTATTAAAGACTGTAAATGGCAAGAAAAAAACATCGTAGTCATGGAAGAAGTTGTTATTACACCCCCCTATCAAGTGGAAAACTGTAAAGGCAAAGAAGGGAGTGCACTGAGCCATGTACGCAAAATAGTAAGTACAGGGTTGGGAGCTTGGGGCGGGGGGGAGGGGGGGGGAATTGTTGTGGTGCCCAAAGTGCCCAGTCAACCACACATCCTGGGCAGTGTGTCTTTTTGGAAATTGGGCCAGAGCAGCTCCTGTCTCCCAGGCTGCATCCTCAGCCAAACTGCCTTCCTTTTAGGAAGCGCTGGCCTGGCAGTGGTGGTATAAACCTGCTGCCATCCTCATCTCTCTGACCCTGAGGGTGTGGTTGCCTGGTTTTCTAAAAGTGAGATCAAATATTTTTAAACGAAAACCAAATGCCCCACCCTGACTTTTCCTCCAAGGAGCATTGAGAGACTAACATCACGGATGTGAAAGCTCACACCCCTCCAGCTCACCCTTAGACACTTGTGTGACCAGGGAAGGGGAGTTTGGGTCATAATAAACTCCGTACTTTTTTTTTTTTTTAATTAGAAAAATAGAGATTTTTGTTGTTGATAGAATTAGCTCCTCCCAGCCAGTCTTAGCTGAAGCTGTAGAGAAGGTGACTGAGACAGGAGATACCCCCTCACTAGGGGGTTGAGAAGGCCAGTAGAGAGCGAGGGCCCACGGGCCTGAGGAGTCCATGGGCTGACCAGCCAGGTCGGGGCTGTTGAAGCCTGGCAGTGGCCTGTTGGGGGGCGCAGAGACTTTGCCTGCTCAGCTCCTTTCCCCATCCATCGCTGCCTGATCTCTTGCAGGTTGAAAAACATTTTAGAGACGTGGAAAGCCAAAAGATACTGCAGCGTTCACAAGCCCAGCAACCACAGAAGGAGGCTGCCCTGTCATCCTGAGTCCACACACCTGGAGGACTCTTCCAAGATCCAGCCCGGGAGGCGGCCGTGGCTGCAGCGGAGCAGGCCGGGGGAGGGGAGGGATCCTATAGTTCCTATTGGCTCTTGTTAACGAAGGGCCAGCGTTTCCAAATCTTAGACTTGAACAAACAAAACACCCAACACAAAAGAACAAGAGAATAATTTAAAAGTTGAATCATTACTTGACTAACCGACTGCGGTCCACCGTGTCCTTTCACAGCCCCTTCTGGAACAGTCACCTTGTTAGTTTTATTTTTGAACATGCCCATTCCTTCCCGCTCTGCTCTTCCGACTCTTGACTTTTCCTGTCCTGGGTCTGTTCCCTGTTCTTCTGTTTTTATAAGTGGCTACACTTGCCTTCTGAGTGATTGAAAGAAACTTTGACATCTTCTCTCCCAAAATAAAAGTAACAAGCTGACTGTGATACTTAAGTTGAGACCAGAGCAACAGACAGGGGTCTCACACACACACAAAAAATCAACCCCACCCGCATTTTTTTCTCCCCATCCCCCTCCTTTTTTTTTTTTTTTTGCACAGGGCATGGCTTGAATTAGTTTTATTTTTCTTAACTTTAAATATATATATGAAAATATATATTAAAATGTTCTCTAAATATTTTCTGCTTCTTGCAGGTCTCTTTTTACTAGATCATGGCCGCTCCTCCCACCTCCTCCCTCCAAAATAAAGATACATTGCCTTCCCCACCCGCCCTGTAGCCAGGCACCCAACTTGACATAGTTCCCTGTGAGAATCTCCAATTGGGATTCGGGGTTTGAGGGTCCCTGATGGCTCTTGTAGCCCTCACCTGTGCGTGCCAGGCTCGCATTTGGCCAGAACCTCAGGACTCGGCCCCTCTGCCTTTGTCTTACTTCATGGTACTAGAAGAACCGCCTCCTCACTCCCCTAGCTGGAGAGAGACGGCCCTCTCCACTCCTGTGCTCCATGCAGGAAGAACTGTTTTGCGTGGCACAGCTCAGCTCCTCCTCAATGGGTGACTCTTCTAAGGAGCCTGGAGCCCACCCACCCTTTTCTTAAAATCCATTTCCAGAGCTGCTAGCCCAGCAAAAAGCTTGGGTGATGGCACTTTGTCTGCGGCCGCCAGCCTCTCCTCCTGTGCTGCTCCTCCCCACTTAAGGTTTTACAAGCTTTTCACAGTTTGTATCTGCTCAGCTGGTGGGCAGGAAGCCTGGGCAGTTCTCTAGACAGTAGCCCACCAGTCTGGTTTTGACTAACCTACTGAGCATGGCCACAGGTGCCTGATGCTCCCAGACCTTCAGGTGGTCGTGGGGGATGGAAGGGACTACCACCTAACTCCCAGGTGCCAAGTGGAATGTGGGTGATGCCCGTGTGACTGGCTAAAGTGGGGGGGTGGGGAAGGTCATTATTTTTTTATTTTTGGCCATGATCTCTCTCCCCTTCCTTTTTTTTTTTAATTAAATAAATGGATCAAAATTAAATAATTCAAGCCCTGCCTTCAAAATGATTTTTTTAAGTATTGTTTAGCAAAAACAATAAAACCCAAAATTTTTTAACCATCACTCACAACTAGTTTCGAGTTGTGCCTGCTTTAGAGGCCAGTGGGGGGTGTGGTGTGTATGAAGTGGGAGGGCGTGTGTCTGGCCTTTCCCTTCAGACTCACTGTCCGCTGTACTTCACCCTCTCTCCTTCCCGCCTTGAAAGACTTGCCCAGAAAGACAGTATGGAGTGCGTCATCACGTGCCGGGGGCGGGGTAGGGATCCAGAGTCCAACGTTGGGTGAGAGTTGGTGACAAAGGGAGGTGGCACGTGCACAGGCCACTTGTTAAGACGTAAATGTTTGGGGCAAAGTAATCAAAGCTGAGAAGGAAACTTCCAAAGCCACTGGTCCGAACTTCAGTCAAACTACCAAGTCTCTGATTTCACCTCCTCAGAAATGTAGGTGTTGGAGAAGAGAAGAAAGAAAAACAAGAAAGGGAGGAGAGAGCCCTTCTAGACAGCCTGGAAATGGAGGTGAAAGGAATCCGAGTGTACCGGCTGCACCATAGCATTTCCGAGGCTGTGAGTCTGTAGAAATGCCGGCCTCCTGCGAGCATCCCAAGGTGGGATTGGGTGAGAGCAGCTCAGGAATTCACCCCGGCCTTGTTTCCAGGCAGGCAAGGGGTTTAATTTGTGGGCAACAGCTGGGGAGTGCCTCACACTCGGCAGCCTCACTGGGTGCCAGCTACTTTTGACAGGAGACTGAACTCGAGTTTTCGTTTCTGAAATGGCTCAAAGGAGCTTTAAGATGTTCAAAAGCTTGTTTAGCAAAGCAAGGCAGTGAGGTGTACAAGAATGCATACGGTTCGAGATGTCAGTGTTGGGATTCAAATTCTCAAACCTCCCATCTCCTTGAGGTGAGATTTGTGGGTAAACCATTTCACCTTCCTGAGCCTTAGTGGCCCCAACTGTAAAAATGGAGTACTATCTACTTCCTAGAAGTGATGTCACAGGTTAACTTTAAAATGACAACCAGCCCGCTCGCTCTCTTAAGAGTCAATTCTAACTTCTGCCACCTTCTGGGACAGAGTAGAATTCTCCCCTGGGTTTCTGAGGGTACCTTTTTTGGAAGTAGTGAGGAAGGCCCAGCTGGTGGCTTTGAACTACCGACATTGGCCACCAGGGCTCCTATTTAAAATTCAAAAGCGTTCGGCAAATGTTATTTTGGTTCTGGGGGTGGTTATGTCTGGAGATGAGATTGGACTGGGGTGTCCAATTGGACTGGGTGGTGTCCAGAGGTGGCAGCTTTGTTGTAAAGCTGTGTGTGTGTGTAATGTTAAGTGAGGCTAATACTAAAAGATGAGAAATGAGTTCCGGCGAGGGAGGCAATGTGCCCTGAGCACCACGCCTGGGACTGTCCCACTTGGGGGCTCCTACTGCTGCTCCCGTGCCTTTTTAATGATGGTATGTGTGCTGCTCAGCTGCTTTGACGGAACCCAAAGGGTATTGTGGAGATAGGAAGTGCCTTTAGGTGGAAGAATGGCAAACAGAATGGTGCGAGTTTTAACGTGCACATCCACACCTACCTTTACGGCCCTCTTAGCCCCTACCACTGCTCACTGGCCTTTAGAGTCACTGCTATTGAGAACATCCAGTCAGTATCGCAGTGAGTTTGACGGTCTATGCTGAGTCTGGCGTTTGGAACTCCAGCCTGGGAAGCACTGATTCAGGGTGAAACTGAGGACATGGGTGTCCGAGTGTCTTTCCATACAGCATTGGAAAAGGGATTGGAGAGATGGCAGCCATTCACAGAGGAGACTTCTGCCCTGCCTGGCACAGAGGTTCTAGCTCCGAGGGACTGTGCAGTGAGCAGGGGAGATGCTGAGCTGCATGGAGTGGGGGGTGGGGATGATGGAGGGGCCTGAGGATGGTCATGAGGTTGGAAGCTGATTGTGTTTACATGGTAGGCATTGTGTTCCATCACTGCCGGAGGCTACTGGTGCCAGAAAATGTTGCTTTGGGAAATAAGCAGCAGTGTAAGCTGCCTGTAGTTCAGGTAGTTCAGGTAATCCTAGCACGATGATGCACATTACAGGTGAAAGGGGCTGCAGGGCTGCTGTCCGCAGGTGATAGATAGGCTTTGTGGCTGGGTAATAAGGGTTCAAAGTGAGTGTTCTTTTTATTACAAAAGCCCAACATGGCTCAGCATAGGAAAACTAGCAAAGAAGGCTCACATTTCTACCACCACCCCCACTCCCTCCAAACATTGACACCTTCTATATAGGCCATATATGCTAGATGCCAACACTTCTCCTTAACTCTTGCATTTCTACAATTTGAAGAATGTAATGCTCTGCCAAAAAAGTTGCAACTTTTTGTGAGTGCAGTGCGGGGTGACAGCAGACCATCAGTTTTGCGTCTCCACAATTACAATCGGTGGACACCTTGTTTCCACTCCTCCAGTGTGCATCAGGAGACGCTTGCAGATCGGCTCCCTTCAATCCTGCCAGCCCCGAGAGTTCCTAGCAAGTCTATAGGGAAGCCCTTTAAAGTGTGTTGGCATTTTGGAACTGAGAGGTGAGAGCTGTCGGGATAGAGGACTTGCATGGAGCTCATTCTTTAGGTTTGCTACTGAATGATCGAGTGGGGACTTGTGAGGCTCCCTCTAGGCAAGGGTGACGACTTTGTCATTTTGTGTGGTTGCCTAGCAGAGCTGATGAGCTAAGATTGACAGCACTTGCTGCATGAGTTTGAGCTACAATGTTAAGTGCTGGGTTTGGGGAAAGCTCGCAGTTCGTGTTGGGAAAGTGGGTCAGGGCCCGCAAAGGGCCCAGAAAGATGGTCAGGAAGCTTGTGGTTCCTGGCAGAAAATGGCAGCCATCCCCCAACGGCCACCACGTTTCTCCAGAGACAGGCAGTGGACCAAGTTTGACTTCCCTTGCCATGTGACTGCTCTCATTTTTCTTCTAATTTTCAATTTTGTTGAAAAGTCCAAAATAAAACTAAGCTTTCCCTGAACCGGCAAGGTGAGATGAGAGTAAGGAATCTTTCTGGTGCCTTCCCCCTTTCTCCCAGATAGCCTTTGTAGTTAGTGCTGACTCCTTCATCGCTAGTGGGGCGAGACGATGTGAGCGAGTATTTAGGGGCCTCTGAGTGATGGGTTCTTTTTCTCGTGGCCCCCTTTCTTCCGGGGGTTGGTCTGTCACGTTTCTGCTTTATGGAGGGAGGTGGTGTAAATGGGTAATTTGGGAATGGCTTCCAGGGAGATGTGATTTAGACTGAAATCCAGAAGACCAGGTGGGAGCCATTGGAGAGTGATCTAGGTGGGGGAATGGCAAGTTCTAAGGCCTGGAGGTTGATAGTTTGGGGTGTTTAGGAGGGAGACCTGGCGGTTACAAGTTGGGCTGTAATCCTGCCGGGCATTTTGGCAGTTCGAAACCACTACCACTCCTCTGGAGAAAGATGGATTTCTACTCCCGTGAACAGTTGCAGTCTCAGAAACTCAAGAGGGCAGTTCTGCCCTGTGCTATCAGTAGGCATTGACTCAGTGGCAGTGAGCTTTTTGATGTTGAGGCTGAAGCCTAGTGAACTCGGTAAATGGACTAGTAGTCAGAACCAGGCCTTGCAGGGCCTTGTATCACGGTAAAGGAGCTGTGTCCTGTCCTTAATACAATGCAAAGCCATTAGAGGTTTATAAACAGTCATGAGTTGCCCCCCAATTTGTTTTTGAACATTTTGGTGACTGTGTATGGTGAGTGAGTGTTGAACAACAACACTGGAATCAAAGATTTGCGTCAGGATGCCACCGCAGTCAAGGCAAGAGATGTGGTGACAGATGATTTCAGACCCGATAGGGCACGAGGGGTGTAAGGGCACGGTGGGGAGAGTCAGGGGAACAAAGATTTGTCTTCTTGGGCGACGGAACCTTTTTCTGCATGGGTGGGCTGTAAAATATTTGTGGAGCAATCA